GGCAGTGAACATTTGGATGGAGAAGGGGGGGGGGGGGGGGGGGGGGCGGTGATAGGGGCTGTGGTGAGAATCAATTGCCCCGCCTGACATCGAGTTTTTCATCCAACAAAATCACCTTGGTCAGTAGGTCGACGATGAGTACCCGCGACGTGACGATGTAAACACCTCCTGACGCGTACAGAACTCCGCGCTGCGCAGGCGTGCACTCCGCGTCCACCACCTGCTCAACGCGCACGAAAAGAAAGGTTAAGGGGCAGTGTCGGCAAGGCATCCGCTCTTTAACGGCCTTAACGCAACTGGCTACGTTTTGAGCTGCCTGTTCATCAGGAACGAGGAGAACTGATGGGGACGCAGTGTACGCAAGGCATTCGCTCCGAAACGGCGTTAACCTTATTGGTACAGCCATTTCTAACCCTCCCCAACAGGCACGAGAGTTTCTAAAGGCGAGGCACGGCAGTAGGTAAAGCATGCGCTGTCACACGGCCTTAACGATTCCCTCTTAAACCGGTACAAGAGAACACCGGACTCCAGAAAGAAATACCGGCTTGTTCCAAGCCTCGCTTAAACGGTAGCCACCACGGCTGTTGTACCCATATGATCCATGGAGATCCCGCATGGATGGGATCTACCAAGATTTCCGCTTTCTTGAATGTATCGTCTCAGGCGGGTGCGTACTGGCCTGGCCCGCAACGTCTTCGTCCGGATTTTCCGGGTCCTGGAAAAATTCCTCACGAGGAACTCTCCCTCAGTTTTGGTGGGATCATGCACAAATGTTGTTCGTAATACAGTCGTGGGCCCGCAATAACCCCGGTGCTTGCCCGGCGAATCGGCCGACACTATTCGTAGGGACCGGTGCTGTACAGAATGACTTGATGATTCAGCTGTGCCCAGCAACTTTCACCGGCGCTATACAGGGTCACCGGGGCTATTCAGCCGGCGATGTTGAGGCCCCTTCACTCTAAAAGCTAACGTGGGATTCTCTAGTCCGTCGTTTTTGCCACCGCTAAGAGTGTGGAGTGGTAAGGAACTCGAATCTGCGCGTTGTGCTATGTTTGTTAGTCCCATCTTTTCAGGCGCCAGGAATACGCAACTTCCGGTGAATTTGTGTTGAGGCAAAAGGCGGGGCCACCCAACAAGGGGAAGGTTCACGCAGGAGCTGCTGCTCGTACGGATTCTTTATCTGGTTCTCATACCCCACATTTCCTCCCGCGGTGCGTCTGTCCTTCGGTGCGTCGACTTTGTTGTGCCTCTGAGAATGGGTCGACGCAAGAGTTCGGCGGCGTAGGTTGCATAAGCTAACACAACTCCCTGGACCGAACTTCAAACCTTTATTGTTCCACGACGAATAGGATGCCGGAATCAAACGATACACTTTCGGAAAGCTCTCGAACGAGACAGTTCCAATGCCACCATTTCGGCACCGCTACTTACTCTGCTGCTTTGGAGTAATCGAGCTTTGAAACCCGGTTCAGAGGGTTGTGATATCTTATGCAACCTATGGGTACAACTTACGGAGAAACAAACACATCGAAACACTTCTAGACCAATCACATCGCAAGGCAATAATGATGAAAAAACTACCAAGTCCATCGGAACATTTCTAGACCAATCACAACACACGGGGATTACGCGTACAACTCACGGAGGAATAAATGTCATACCGGAACAATTCTAGACCAATCACAACCCACCTCGGGTAAACGGTTCGGGGGAACCCCGTCCGCCATAAGCGCGTCCAATAAAAGCTCCTCCTCCCCCTTGGCGTTCAGGCACAGAACAAGCGGCCTAACCCCTGACGGTTCGGAAGAAGCCCCCCCCCCTATCTTGGAAACCCCTGCTTCCGAAGAACTCCCGCTCCCGCCGTTTAAAGGGGCGTTCTTTTGGCGATCGACACCTTTGCCTGCTCGGGATGATGGTGAAGGGTGTTTCCCCTTTTCGGCCTGTTCCTGTTGCTCCTTCTCCCTTCCTTGTACATGTTCTTTGTCGCGATGTCTCTTCTTTCGGGCACCGCCGAGATCATTTAAGGCACCACCATCTTGGCGTTCTGTTCCTTCTCCCTGAGAACGATCTTGACTCTCGCCCTCACCCTGAGAGAAAAAGACCAGCCAACAACCGTCAGATGAGAGCAGCAAACCTCGTACTACAGGCTAGGAACACAAAACCAAGATTGCGGAGGGAAAATCACACAACAGATAGCTAGGAAAGAAACCAAGGTAAGAAGGCAAGCTCCATACCACAAAATCTGGCAAGGGTGGGGTACGGTCTGGCCAAAGTCCCCTTGCACGCAACAACGCACTCACGAGCCCCGCCCCCAAAACAAAACGGCAGCAAGAAATTGCTGTTGCATCCAAGCTTTTGTCTGCACTACCTGATGTTCCTCCCCAGTCTCTTCTTTCCTTTGCTCTGAGAGGGGGGACGGTCTGCCAACGTCCCCCTGCACGCAACAGCAACAAAACAAACACGAAACGGCAACAAAAACCAGCGGCCACAAAAAGCCGTTGCATGCTGCACTGAATAGTTTTGCATACAAAGCGGTTGCTCCTATACCTCCTGCCCGTCCCCGGTCTCCTCTTCCGCTTCCTCCGACGCAGGGGACGGTCTGGCGGCGTCCCCGTGCATGCAGTGCAGCAAGAGAAACTTGGCCATCAGCCGCCGGACCCCCAGGCCCCTCGCCATCACCACGAGGCCGTCCTGTCTCCACAGCTCGGCGAACGCCTGGGACGACCGAGCGAGCGAGCCGTGCACGGCAACAGCAACAGCAGCAGTAGCAGCAGCAGCAGTAGCAGTGGTCACGGCGGGGGGGGGGCTCAAGAGAACCATGCACGAAAATAACAAGAGCAGCAATAGCAGCCATAGCAGCATAGAGCACGGTGGAGGGGCGGGAGCGAGTGAGCCATTCACGGAAACAACAACAGCAGCAGCAGCAGCAGCAGCAGCAGCAGCAGCAGCAGCAGCAGAAGCAGAAGTGACCACGGCGGAGGTGGGGGGGTGCACGGTTGGCCTTTCGTGGCCCCCTGAAGCTGGGCAAAATCGAGGGACAATGCCGACAGAATCTTCTCGTGTCTTGCTTCTTTTTCCGGCGTTCACGCAACCGGTCCGGCGTGTTCACAGGTCATTGACAGCCTGATCGGGCCAACAAGTTGTTGCACAGCGACAAAAACATGCGTTGTACAGTAGCGAAACTGGACAAAAAAATCGCTTGCACTCTACGCATTCAATACCTCGCCCTTGTGGCACCATTTTTTATCTTCTACTTTCTAACTACACAGAAGGAATTGTCATTGTTGGTGTCAATGGTGGTGATGGTGGTATTGGTGATTTTTGTGTTGTCATTGTTGTCATTGTTGCTCCTGTTGTTGTTGTTGCTGCTGCTGCTATTGTTGTTGCCACTGTTGCTCTTGTTGCTGACATTGTTGTTGCTGTTGTTGCGCCTTCCCTTCCTTTGGCGTTCGTGGTGGTACAGGCGCTCGGTTGTGTTGTTCCTGTGATTCCTGCTCAAACGCTCCAGTTGATAGCTGGAATCTCACCGCAGAATACAGGCGGTGTAGATATGCACGCATCTAGCGAAGGATCGCTGCGACATGGGCTAGCTGGGAATACAGTACTGGGCCTTCATCAACGCTGGGATGTATGTGCCCGGCGGATCGACCGGCGCTGTTCAGAGGCACCGGTGCTATACAGAATGACTTGGCGATTCAGTCTGTGCCCAGCAATGTCACGGCGCTATACAGGGCTACCGGCGTCGTTCAACCGGCGCTGTTGAGAGCCCACTAATGGTGTGCCAGGTACATACTTTGTCCGAACGGCCACGTGCACTGCCGACGTTGTCCGGACAGCCACGTGCACAGCCGAGTCTCACCTCCTTCAGGTAAGCCATGGCTCTCGCCCCCCGCCTCCACGACAACTCGTACTTTGCTCCGCCCTGGCCGCCTGCGCAGGAGGGGGTGCACGCGAAAGAGCTCTGTACTCCAAGAGAAGAATGGCTGTGGCTGTACAACGCACAGTCTTGCACCTGCATACCTGAAAAAAAAGGCAATCTCAGCACGACACCGTTTTGGACCTTTCCTCAGGCACCGCCACGCCATCGCCAACGTCTAGACTGTGGGGTAGGAGAGGCAACCTCCCGCAGCTCGTCAAGCGAGAAAGAGAGTTTCGGCGGGGCCACAGCTACAAGCAAGGAGCAATATCTACTTTCGCAATATTCTTCTACCACAACTGAAGGTCCTGTGCCATGTAGTGTAGGAGAGAGACAACCCCCGAAGCTCTCCACCCCAGAAAAGGTGTTCCGGTTGGAGCCAAAGCAGCCACAGCATGTGGAGTACTACTTCCAGCTGGGGGCGTCCGCCGCACGTAGGATGGCTGCTTACAAGCAGAGCAGTCACATACCCTCTCGCAACGGCACAAGCGAATCCGCAGCAGCGGTGGTGACCGACGGAATGCCGGGACGATCACCACGGTTGGTACATTCGCGGATTGGTGGAGTTTCAGTCACAATCCACCGCGGTTATAGAATTCGTTCATGGCTTGGGGTCGTACACAGGATTTCGAGGGAGAGGGAGAGAGAGAGAGAGAGAGAGAGAGAGAGAGAGAGAGAGAGAGAGAGAGAGAGAGAGAGAGAGAGAGAGAGAGAGAGAGAAACGAGAGAGAAACGAGAGGATAAACCATGGTACAAACGGAGTATTCATTTATACATTGCATGCGACACGCATATCTTGTGTATTGCAGGAGACGGGCGGGAAACACGAGCGAAACTGCGCTGTTCCCAGCACGGCGATTTTCGAGCCACAGCTCTGAAGTATAGAGTACATAGTGTCAGCTTGGTCATATCTACGGGGGATCGCACACAGCCAGCTCTCTGGGCACAGCAGGACGGCGGTTAAAACGGTGGGCATGGGTCCTCTGCTGGGCAACCACGGAAGAAACAGAGGAAGCAAAGCTGGGGGTTCACGTGCTATGGCAGCGTGCAAGCATGGTTGCCTCTGGGAAATTTGAACACAGCACCAGAGCAGCAGCAGTACAACTGCTGGAGTCAAGCTGTTTGTAAGTGCAGGTAGCTCAGAGAGAAACATGTCCGCAGCAGAAAAAAAACTAAGCATACCTCAGGAGAAGTAAGGCTTCGTTGCTCTGGCTCCCTTTCCTTGCCCACTCCTGTTGGGGTGTGCCAACCCTAGGCAGATCTGAGCTCTTTGGGAACGAGGGTGCTTGCGGGACTGTTGGATTGCAAACCCCTCGAGCATGAGAAAAGAAAAAAAAAAAAAAGGCGCCAGGGCGATGATCCGAGAAGGGGTCGAGGCAAAACACCGAGATAGCGAGTCTTGTGCTGCCATCCCTCATCTTTCGCGCACATCCCCTCTTCAGGTATGCGTGTACCACCACATGACTTTGCTGGTTAAGAGGAGAGTGTACAAGACGCTGGCCTTTGTCTTTCTGGCCAACGTTTGGATCATCCATAAAAAAATGCCGCAGCGCCAGAGCGCCCGCTTTCGTAAGTCTTCTGGTACAAACACCAATTTTGCCCTTCCGCCCGGTCTTCCCAGAGAGCAGCAGCAGCCAGCGACACCAACATGCAGTACTCCCTCGTTTTCCTGGCCGTTGTGGCGATGCTGGGCTCGGCGCTTGGATTCCAGGTGCGTGATTCTTTGTCGTCAACGCTGCTTTTGTTTGCGGAAATAACATGTTCCGCATCAGCTGGTGTGTGTCTCAGTGTCAGAGATAGAGAGCGGGCGGTGACGTTGTTGATACCACGTATGTGCCTCTTCGTCGTCTAACAACAGCAGCAGCAGCGTCGCAAGTGCATGCAGCAAGGGTCAACGACCCCCCCCCCCCCCCCCCCCAACATCTA